GAGACTAGAACATGTCATTGGCATTAAAGGAACTGCACTAGGCTGGTTTGAGTCATACTTATCAGATAGATTGGGGTCATTTTGACCAGGACATGTCTTTTACTTCATACATAAAAAAACAGCCTTCTTCCACCTGTGTAGCATTATGAAAATTAGAAACAGCTGATCAAAATGCTGCAGCGTGAGTACTGATTGGAACTAGGAAAAGAGATCACATCTGTTCTGTTTTGGCTTTTCTGCACTGATCCGGTAAAATCCAGAATAGAATTCAAAATCCTCCTCTTCACCTGCAAAGCCATTAATGGTCAGACACATTCGTATCTCAAAGAGCTCAGAGCTCCCCATTATCCTAACAGAACACTCCACTCTCAAAATGCAGGTCTACTTTTGGTTCCTAGAAGTTTCTAAGACTAGAATGTGAGACAGAACCTTCAGCTATCAGGCTCCTCTCCTACACTATTTTTTGAAATTGCAGTGAAGTGATGAAACCATGATCAGCATTGATATGATTGGCTGAGTGCTGATTATGTGATTGCAGGTACACCAGGTACTAAATCTAATCAAGGCATTTTACTTATCAAACAAAGGAATGGTAATAATTATAACATGGCCTGATAGGTTAAGTCAAGTCAAATCCCACCTTCCTGGGACTTGACTGAAGTCAGATTTTCAGCACCTGTCATGAACTGAAACCATAGGAAAAAGACCCAAAAGCACAACTCAGACTCAGGAGAGGGTGTCGCAAAAATCAAGGTCTTAACTGGTAAAAGTTTGTTCCACAGAGTCAATAAAAACAAAGCAGTCAAATCCAAATGGGAGCAGGCTGAGATTATATCAAAACACTCAACTATGATACACAAAAAGACAAAGACGAAGACAAACTGGCAGCAGGGGCAGGAAGAACACAGACTAAAACCACCAGAAGAAGGCAGACAATGGGACACAGGTTCAACACATTAGGGCGGGAAGAAAAGCATGCACTGGGGTAAGAGATTCAGTCTCACTGTGTGACTGCATTATCATTGCTGCTCCACACTGTTTTCATTCTTTGATCACGGTCAAATAAGGCTATACAACTAAAATTTAATTTAATTTAATTATTGATCACATAATCTCAAACTATTGAGACTGTTTCTGTTTCAGTCTACAGAGTTTGATTTTGCTGTATATTGATCATATACAACTATAAAGTATATAGGCTAACTATATTATTAGATCATTTATTCCTGAGGTGTTTAGGGCCAAGCATAATAACTACAGTTTTTTCTGGAATTGGAATATTTCACGCCTCCTTAATAACACAATAAATCCCTAACAACCTGCATATTCATGTCAGTGTGCATGTGGTTCACCTTCACATCAAGCTGACTACTGAGCTGTGCTTTTGCAGGTTTCAGTTTCAGTCCACGAAAAGTCCAGACTCATGTCTCATGCAGCTCTCACCTGTATATAAAATCTTTTTAGCTACCTTTGTTTTGCTTTGTATCTGTATCATCTGTATCATCCTGTGTTCGTTAGTTTAGAACCACTGACAGCTGGACTCCGACTCCCTTCTGTGGCCATTAGAACTAATCCACAATCAGTGTTCTAAGCAGTTATTTATACACGTGCTCCTCTTTTTGACCACAAGATGTCGCTATGACACAATTTCCTCTCACTGTGTGTCTCTTCTTGTGGGCTGTTCCAGTGGATGAGGAAGTGCACCGTCAGACTCTCTGTGAGGATAAAAGTTTATGCTAATTTCAGCAGTGTGTGTAGGCCTGACTCTACTGAAGAACTGATCATCAGACACCTGGTGTTTTCTTAAACATCCCAGTGTCTGTAGCCTGTAACCTACCTGTGTGTACTTGTTGGTCTATGTCAGTTTATAGAACAACGACATGAGGCTGAGTCTATTTAAGTAGTGATGTCGAAATCAGTTTCATGCTCAGGGTGTACGATCTTTAGACTTCATAACCTCTCAGTACATTTCATTAATATTGGTGCTATGTTCTTTGTCCACCTGGACACTGTCCTCATCTCTCCCGTCTCCCGTGTTCAGACCCATTTTCAGACCTCCTGTTTACCGGTCAGTGTGTCCCCGTGTTACAAACAGAGTCTTACAGAGGCTCCACCTTCACATTCACCTCTAACGGTTCACGCCACTGGTCATTTATGAAACAGTGTTTCTGTTATTGTCTTTGTGAAAATAAAAATAATGTATCTGGAGCTTATTCGATTCTAATGCGTTTATTTCACGGCACTAACATTTATTTCATAATAGTGAGACGTTTTTTAAATCTTGTAAAATGTGGATTTATTTATTTATTTTTCTTTCAAATAATATCCCAGAATCCCCTGGCCTAACAGTGTCAGTGCAGATGAAACCATATGACACGGAAAAGCCTGTGTCTGTGTATTGTTTTTATTGTTTTCTAATCTTCATCAGTGTGTGTGTGTGTGTGTGTGTGTGTGTGTGTGTGTGTGTGTGTGTGTGTGTGTGTGTGTGTGAGAGAGAGAGAGAGAGATTGTGAGAGACAGAGAGAGAGAGAGCAGCGGGATGTGGACGTACAGATTGAAGTGTCCCGGTGTCATCTCAGTCTGTTTGTCCTCTGGCCGTGCAACAGAAAAATACCACAATTATACTGTCTTTACGCACATTACAGGATTATTAGAAACAGCTTCTAAAAGCTTCATGTACTATTCACACGGCAGTGTTGGTTCGTTACACACTGTAGACTCTTTCACAATAACACCGACACACAAAACAAACAAACAAATGAATAAACAAAGAAACAGAGGCCCACTTAGACTTTTACTGTACAAATGAGTCCGCGGAGGAACACTGTTGAATTATTACAGGAATATTATAGTGACAATGTCATTACAGTATAATGGTGTTTAAAAAGAAATAGTTAATCAGTTGTGAATTCACTATTACACAATATTAATGTCACTAAATGTAATCTATTGATTTTGTATGAAATCAGGGAATAGTAACGAAATTGAATGTGTTGATTCTTTTGGCTACATGGACAGAAAATCTCCCTGTCTTCATGACAGAACAATATGATTATTCAAGTGTCTCTGTTTCGGTACAAACTCTCACCTCCTGGGGCAGGTTAGAGAAATACCTGATTTTCACACACAAACAGTTCATAGCCTGTTTAATTACATTTAACCTGAACCAACATCTTTCACTAACCTCGTGCGCGCTTGTGCCCTCTTTTAAGCGCGCCGTCCACCCTAACCTTTCCCCTCGCGACTCCGTTTCCATTAATGAATGAAGCGCTTAATTAAAAGACAATTTTCCAATTGAAATACACGAGTTTTAATGTCAGGAGAAAATTTTAAATTCGTGTTTTTTGTGCACGAAATCAGTAGATACCATGTGATGACTGTTTTAGCCTTCAGAGTGAGGCTGGGGTTTTTCTCTATAAACAGCTCATGTATCTGTCCTTGAGCTCAGGCCTCTGGATTCACCAACAACCAAATAAAACAAAGACTTTAATATGAATCACACCAATTAAGTTGTCCGTTAATGCAGTCTCTTTGTATTCCAGGCTGCTCAGCAGCATTTCTGTTAACACCATAAACAAGCTCCTCTGCGGCGCGCCTGGCTCTTCTGCTGCATTATATTCTCCTATCGGCCCACTTTGCGCACACTTTGATGAAGTGTTGACGCTGTGACGGTGACAGAGGCTTTGAGTCGCTTTTCTCTCGCAGCCAGGTGATGAACGTCCGGTTGATCAGGCGGAATAAGGAGTAATTAAAACCTATAAATTATCCGCCGGCAGTCCTCTCTCTCTCACGCGGAGATAAGAGCGCGCTTTTCAAGAGCTGGGCCTGGAAAACAATACCGACTGACAATGGTGGCTCTACCTCAGGAGGGAGGATAAAGCGGTGGAGGCGGTGTGAGCACCAGACTGGAGGTGTGCGCGTTTTAAATGGAAGCATATGAAGACGCAGGAGGTGCACAGCTGAGTGCGGATAAAACAGGAAAAATAGGGAGCTGGTTTTTGGCGCAGGCTTGCAGCTGTAGGCCTCTCCAAGATTTGTGTGTGTGTGTGTGTGTGTGTGTGTGTGTGTGTGTGTGTGTGTGTGTGTGTGTGTGTGTGTGTGTGCATGCGTGTGCGTGCGTGCGTGTGTGTGTATTTGTGATTATTTCTGAGAAAAAAAGCCCTGCACACCAAGTTTGTACTGTGGACTATATAAGACGCAGTTGTGGAAGGTTTTGAATGCAGCTTGAGTTGTTGGGACGTTTCGCCAGAAACAAAAAAAGAAAATTCTAGAGAAGGAAAGTGGACTGTTTTTCACGCATGGTGTCAAACGGCACCTGTCCAGTTCAAAGTAAACCATCTGGAGGTGGGCAGTTGAATTTCATCTAAAACCCACCATCAGACCGCCTCGCCGACGTGTGTGTGTTTGTGCAGTTCCTCTCCTCCTCTCCCTCAGCTGTATAAGATGTAACAGATACACCGTAACAAGGCTGAAGGCGCGGAGCAGTGATAATCTCTTGTTTGGTTTCTCTGTGAAGCCTGCTTGCTGCTCCACAGCTCCCCTCTTAGCTCAGAGACGCCTGACATTATTGGACGTCGTCACCCCATGTCCAAAAGTGTCCTGGCCGCTGATTGGCCCAGTGCTCTTTGGATGTTATTCATGCGCCTCCGGTTGGTTTGTGTGAGTGTGTATGAGTGTGTGTATGTCCGCATGGTGATGTGATGTGAGGACTCTGTGAAGATTCGACTGTCATACAGCGGTGAAAAGCTCTGGGTGTGTGAGAGCAGTGCGCAATAGCAACTATAGCCAGTCTTATAGTAAGTCACCGACCATGACGCGCCGGAGCGCCTTTACGCAAGCGGGATGTCCACAGTTTGTGATAATTACACCAGCCAGCAATATTCCGAAGAGAAAATAACTATGTTTTAGTGCTTCCCGCGCTCATATTTTGGATACAAGCACAGGCCCACAGAGTGGAAGTGGATTGAGAAAACAGAAGCCACGTTTTCAGAGAAGCAGCGATGGAGGAGCAGCGGGATCTGAACAGCACGGATAGCAGCGAGGGAGAGAGCGTCTCCCCGTCCCCCAGCTTGCCCTCGCCGCCCATACTGCCCCTGCAGGTCGCCCAGCAGGCCCACAGAACCACCAATTTTTTCATCGACAATATTCTACGGCCAGACTTCGGCTGCAAGAAGGAGCACGGCCTTGGCTCGCGGGAGAGGGCGCAGACCTCCGGCCGGGAGCGCGTCCACTCGGTGGTCAGCAGGCCAAGCCTTCCCGGGACGCCATGCCAGGACTCCAACTGCAGCAGTGACAGCACTTCGTCTTCCGCCTCCTCCACTTCTTTGGCGAGTCCCAAAAAGAGCAACGGCAGCGGCGGAGGAGCCGCAGCCGCCGCCGGTTCTACCGGGAGCAGCGGCGTGAAAGCCGAGGAGAGGACTGGCGGCGGTGCCGCGGAGAACACCTCCTCCTCCCTTGTGGTGCTGAACGGCACCGGGGCGCCCACGCCGGAGACCCAGCCGCTACTCTGGCCTGCCTGGGTCTACTGCACCCGGTACTCGGACAGGCCCTCATCTGGTAAGGCAATAGTTTCAAGATAGAAAAACCTCTGAGCGTCGGTTCCGTTCACATGAGGAATAACACCAGATTTCATATCTGCGACATGAGTTTTATTCCATTTATTTTCTTATTTTATTTCTCACATATTCTGACACAAAATACTGAAATAAATTTATCCCACATCCAACATCCAGAGATATTTTAAGAAAGTAAAGAGGGAAATAATATTTTTAGAAAAATTTAAAACCACAAACAGACAAACAAAGGTCAAACAGAAATTATTTACTGTAATGTAGAAGCTCAGTTTCAGTGAATCCCACACGTCGGCCTGTATGTGGTATATAGATGTAGCTGTATGTTGTTCTACAGAAACATTTACTCATGTTGTCAGGTCAGGGGTAACTTTCCTTCAGTTACTGTTTATATCCTCTCACTATCAACATTTAGTTTCACACGTTTTAGATATTAAATGTTCCTCGCGCTCAATTTTTTCCTGTGAAGGAGGATTTAATTCAAACTAAAAAATCTATATTTTATATTTTTACCTTAATTTTGACCCTGAACGCAGTGAATCAAACTACGACCTATTAATGCGTTTCAGAAAAACATTTGTAGATAAATGTTTCTTAATAATTAACTACATGAATAGAACAAAGTGTGTTGTGTAGAAATTTGCAAAGTAAAAACAGTAATTTCCTGCCTTCTCTGTGAATTTGTCTTTTTAACTTTATTTTCCAAATAACATTAAAAATAGATAAATGAGCTGCTGTACATTTTTTAATTTGCAAGTAGAAAAAAGCAAAGATTTGAAATTATTTTAATAAATAAAAAATGATTCAAGTAATTAATTAAAAACAACTTGTGAACGTATGAATGATATGAACCTGCAGGTTGTGTCAGAGATATTATTCATCGTCTGATTGGTTGAATAACTTCACTCTGTAGGTCTTTGAATCAGCAGCTGGACATTGATCCAGGTGACAGCGGCTCAGCTCGGAGCTGTGGAGCACCGGGACAGGGTTTTGGTTCAGGACTTCGGATCGACTGCAGATATTTCCTATAAAGTCTTTTATAGCCCTGTGGTCTCCATTGTGTGTTACTGAGTGTTATTGAGTGTTACTGTGTGATGTGTGTGCTACTATGTGTAACCTGTTGTGTTGAGGTGCAGTGTAGCTGGTGTCAGTAAAGCATGGCCGAATAAAACACAATGGAATTAAAGGTAAATAATGGCTCTGAGCCTCTCTGTCTCACCACAGGGGACATTTTGAATTCATTACCTATATCTTTGATCTGAGTCTGACTCCAGATCAGATCACTTTTAATTTCACATGAAACAAAACAAACAAACCTGTGAGTGAAACACAAAGGACACGATGACTCATTTATATTAACTAATTTTTATTATCTTTTATATATTAAATCATCCCCTGTGTTATTATTCTGGTGCTATAGACACGTGATAAATCTGCTATATTTTTTTATTTTATTTTGACACATTTTGTTCGTTTGTAGAAAACAAGTCAAACACGTTGTTGATAAATTAATATACTGTGTGTGTGTGTGTGTGTGTGTGAGAGTGTGTGTGTGTGTGTGTGTGTGTGTGTGTTGGTGTTGTGTGTTGTGGTGTGTGATCACAAACAAGAGTCGGACACATTTTATTCCAGAATCCTGGCATGATTTATATCTGGGAAATTTCCAGGAATTACTGACTACACTGTGGACGTGTAGTGTGTAGTTTACTCATGAAACTTTCAGTCTGTTTTAGTTTGACTTTTATGACCTGAATTATTTTTCACCGTTTTTAGGCTGTTCTAAATAAGTCCTTGATGAAACGCAGTAGATGTGTAGCCTGTCCTTCTTCCTGTTGTTTTCCTCTGGGCTCCTCAGACTGTTCTGGTTTACACCACCGCCTTTCTCAACAAAACAGATTGTGTAGTGGTGATTACTGTGTGATAGTGTGAACACCTCAGCGCTCTGTGTGTTCTTCATCAGACGGCCTCAGCCCGCTCTGGTCAGCCAGGCACAGACAGAGTGTGGACGGGCTGATGCTCAGCTGGAGCTCAGAGGGAACATCATATGATTATTATACTACTGTGCTGTGTAACTGACAATCACACAACTTCCTTTAAGGCTCATAATAATATAATATAACAATAATAACAACAACAACAATATTAACAGATATTATTATTATTATTATAGGCTTAATAATAATAATAATAATAATAATAATACACTGACTAACATAAATACATAGACCTATACATACATATATATATATATATATATATATGTATATATATAATTTGTAAAGTCCACTTTCTGATTCAACTGTATTGGAAAGTTGCGTTGTTGTATCGTAGCTAAGTGTGTCGGCATATAAAGCAAATATCACATTTAGTCCTGATGTTGTCCTTGATGATGGTCCTGATGGCTGATGTTTACGGATTAAAGTCTACAAAAATCATTCTTTTTTTTAAAATGTAATTAAGTGATTATTATTATTTATTATTATTTATCGTTGACTATGCGCTGAATATTTATATTTCCGCTCTCCTGTCTTTCGCCCTTACTGCAGGCCCAAGGACACGGAAACTGAAAAAGTCGAAAAGCGGCAAAGAGGACAAGCGGCCGCGCACGGCCTTCACGGCCGAGCAGCTGCAGAGACTGAAGACGGAGTTCCAGGTGAACCGCTACATTACGGAGCAGCGGCGGCAGTCTCTGGCCCAGGAGCTCAACCTCAATGAGTCTCAGATCAAGATCTGGTTTCAGAACAAGAGGGCCAAGATCAAAAAGGCCAGCGGCTTCAAGAACGGGCTGGCGCTGCAGCTGATGGCGCAGGGACTGTACAACCATTCCACCACCACCATACAGGAGGACAAGGAGGACAGCGACTGACCGGCCCGCCGCGCCACACGCGGCCTCCTCCACACACTGTGTACATTGTAAATATATAGTATCTAATTTAATGATGAAGACGGGGAGGTTTTGTCCGCAGATCCTCTTCATCTCCTCCTTCACCTCCTCGGATGTGACTGAACAGCTGAGCAGACTTCAGACTGTCCGACTGACCTGTCACCGCAAAACCAAAGATTTTACTGGAGAACAGCCTGGACAGTTTCACTAACTCTCAAGAAAAACTACTTCCTCCTCTCAGCCTATTTCTGTTTCCTCCTGAGCTGAGAGTAAAATACACCCCACCGCCCCCGCTCCCTGCCCCCCACCCCCCACAGCCATAATAAGGCCCACATCGGCTGATGTTTCCAGGCAGTTTCACTTCACCTCCCTGCAGCTCATGTTGCTTGGTTGTAGACGGTGCTGCTGCACCCCCCCACCCCCACAGCCACAGACACCACTTAACACCACTTGAACAGCCTTCATTAGACTTTTGTTTTACAGTGTTTCTGGACCAACTGAGTTCTCAGAGCCGTGATGATCCTATGGTCAATTTAACAGAGCAGCGTTAATGAACACAGTGAACCCCCTCAGGAATATTATAGGAATATTATAGAAATACTGTGACGTCACTTAGAGCTGCCATTAACACGTGAGGTCATGCCCACATATTTGATTTTTTTGGAGGGGGCTTGAGGGGGGCGGAAGTAAAATGATCCGCCTATGAATAACATGCCGCTTTCTTCAGTCACGTCGCATCTCTCCACTAACTGTCCTCTAACCCGCGAAATGTCCATAGAAGTGGCTATTCATACATCGCACTCCTGGAATCTGAGCTGTACATGTTGGTTTTAATATTTTTAAATATTTTGATTTAATATTTTTAAATGCAAACAATTACAATCTGACCGTTTTTACACCTTTGAATAAATTCAGTCAAAACTGAGGCCTGTTGTTTTCTCCTTTCACAGGCTTCCAGTCAAATTCAGACCAAACAGAAAATACAGATCAATAATTAACATGATCAATAAAATGTTAAAGATCCAAATATTTGGGAAAATAATGTGTTTGCTTTTTGGTGATTTGGGATCATGAGCTCAGTATTTCTGAAATCCTCCACACCCCAATCGGCCTGATAGGAACATGTTAGTGATGCTATAACATACTTACTGAACAATGTGACGTCACCACTGGAGACTGGTTATAGATTATAATAATGTTGCTGGACATTTAAATACACAACTAAAATCCACCAAAACAGAACAACAGTGTTAAATAATCTTTTCTATCATATTCCTATAACTTCCTGTCACAGTTATCCAACCTTCTGTTATCTTTATCATTTCCCTGTGATGCTTCCTGTGTGTTCTGTTGAGCTTCTTTTTCTCTGACTATAGAATCACTGAGACATTCAGTATCTACAAGAGACTTCACTGTCTGTACACAAAACCCAAACTGAGTCACGTCCTCTGTTGCCTTTTTGTTGGCAGGTAAACTGCACACACACATATGTTAGCTACTCCCGGGAAAAGAGCGGATGGATATATTCTGTACATAAACCATGTTTCCAAATAAACACTTTTATATTAGAAAAAGAAAAAAATCCTCAGGAAACACACTGACCCATTTTTTTCTCCTGGATGACACCGAATATTCAATTAATAAATGCAGATGTGTGTCTGTGTTTGTGCGTGTGTGAATATGTGTGTATGTATGTGTGTGAAGGGGGGTGAGGGGGTGGAGGGTGGGGATCCATATTCATAGGTCTTTGGAAGGAGGTGAATTTACACTGCGCGACGCGCCGCTATCAGCGCTGTTCAAAGCGTTGCAGAGCATGAAATTGCCTCTCCGTCTCTCTGTGTTCACTCATTTGATCAGAAGCCTCTGCAGGCCGGGAACACGATCTGAAGGTGTGGATACAGGACCCGGACTCTCCCTTTGTGTGTGTGTGTGTGTGTGTGTGTGTGTGTGTGTGTGTGTGTGTGTGTGTGTGTGTGTGTGTGTGTGTGTGTGTGTGTGTGTGAGAGAGAGAGAGACAGAGAGAGAGAGATAGTCAGACAGGGCAGGCGACAAACGGCGGCTCAGTAGGGCCAAGGCCGAGTATACGGCCCAGCTGCAGCCTCATCCCAGGGATCTAAAAAAAAACATTTCTTTAGAAAATTCCGGAGAAAAAAAATAAACTAAGGAACCAAAAAATAGGCCTTTATTTGACAGAGTAATATATGTTTAAAATTAATATCACAACAAATATGAACACAAAAATTAGGGATTATTCTATATTTATTCTATTCTTCTTTTCTATATTTTATTTAGGTGTATTTTTTCCACATTTCTGTCACTACAGTTATAATCCAACCTTTCTTAGTGCATAATTCAAAATAAAATTCAATTATTGATTAAAAAACACAATTATTAATCAATAATTTAACAGTTCAAACAAGTTCTTGTTTTCTTTTTAAATATAACAGTGAAATATTATTTATAACCTTTTCATACAGATTCAGATAAAAGACAATCTGACGTTAATCAACTCAGTATTTTTCTTATTTTAGAAGAAGGAGGAAAAAAAGGATACAACCAAAACTATATAAAACACAAGCTGCACTTCTCTAAATTAAATTAAATTAAAGTTTTCCTACTCAAATTGTGTTTTAATTATTTACAGTAAGATTTTATCAATGTCTATTTAAAAAATGACAAAAAGAGCACGTTTATAAAAACTTCAAAAAATGAAAGTGAAGCAGGAACCTCAGATAAAATAATTCATCAGCTGTTATAAATGAACGGCTCTGGTCCTTGTCCTGTGAATCACAGGAGGAACCTGCAGCACAGATCTTCACTTCTGAGTGGATCATTATTTACTGAGGGAGAGAGAGAGTTGAGCAGATGTGATTTCAAAGTGCCAATAAGGAAAAGATGTGTGAATAGACAAATGTCCTCCGGTTACTTTGAGAAGTGAAATGAATCACCACCTCAACTTCCTGCAGCTATTTTTTTATATTTATCTGTCAGAGTGACGAGGATGAGGTTTTCAGGTTTGGTTCAAGGAAACTTTGTTTATTCTGCTTCAAAAAATATATATAGGCTATAACATGCCTTTAAAATATAGATAGATAGATAGATAGATAGATAGATAGATAGATAGATAGATAGATAGATAGATAGATAGAAGATTTATTCCATGCTGCTGCTTCTGCTGACAGCAGTCCACTGTTCCACTGTGTAATTATTTTGGACCAAATTACTTATCGAGTGAGCATCTTCCTGATGAAACCCAGCTATTTCCTCCAGCCTGCGGGTCATCTGTCATCTGCAGCTTCATGCTTCCCTTATAGGAAGGAGTTGGTCTCTTCTATAATCGCTCTGGAGCCTGTCCAAGGAAAGTCTTCCCCCCTCTTAAAATTAGAACGAAAACAGAGGGTAACAGTAGGCTGAAATCAATTTGTCAAATTCTAAGGTAAATGTTGTGACAGGCTGACTGGATCTTTGCCTCTACCTGTTTTGCTCCCCTCTGCTGCTGGCCTCAGATCAGCAGGAAGAAAAAAGGAGGTTTGCTTTCATATGCAAAACCCCTGTGATTATCCAGTAGAAACAGAGTGATAGGCTGATATAATTTATTCACATGCTTCGGTCCTGCCTCTTCATTCCATGTGTGCATAATTGCATAATAAAAGCATGTGTGTGAAATCACAGAGTGTGATGCAAAATTCAAAACAATTAGACAAATTAACATTTCCCTACCAATTATGCAGGACTGTATATATATATATGTGTGTGTGTGTGTGTGTGTGTGTGTGTGTGTGAGTGAGTGTGCGTGTGTGTGAAGCAGAGGGACTACAGAATATAGCATGCAGCCGGCCCTGCGGCTACAAAACAGTTTTAATTTACATGCAAATGAAGGTAATAAACAGAGGCAACACTGCTGTTGTCCCTCCACCCCCCTACTGATCAAGAACTGTACGGATGTACAGTATCACAACACTCACTCACACACTCATGAGACATTTAAAAGAACAAAAAATAAACTTTTAAAAAGCCCTGATGTGAAGTAGCTCTGTGTGTTTATGGGAAGGCTGACCCAGTATCTGTCTCTTTGAAGTACAATTTCAGGAGCCGCTGATGAAAAACAGCATCTAGATTTACTGATTTTAAAATTTTAAGGTTTAACATTATTACACCTGCTCTGATCAGTGGTTATGATCAATCAACTGCAGCAAACAGAATATTTCATATCATCAGTGGACGGCGCTGCCTCTCAGTCAGGGTTCAGTTCACTTCAGCCATATCTGGACAGTGTGGTGTCACGTTGGTGTCACACCCTGCACCCAACTCCCCCGTCCTCACTGTTTGATCCTCAGCAACACACACACACACACACACACACACACACACACACACACACACACACACACACACACATAGTGGCTGACAGTGGTGGGTGGTGCAGGAGGAGGCAAACTAAAACTCCACATGCCTCCCTCTGTCTACCAGCCTGTCAACAAGTGAGCTGTGAGGGCCAGCGGAGCAGTTGTGGCACACATGCCCGCCGTTGTTTTATGAGTAACAAAAGTGGCATTGAGATGTACAGGCCTCCCACACTGCTGCTAAACACTGTGTGTGTGTGTGTGTGTGTGTGTGTGTGTGTGTGTGTGTGTGTGTGTGTGTGTGTGTGTG